CTCTCATGGGTCTCTCTGTTGGTCGTGCAGATTCAGGGACTGGTTCTCTCAAACAGCTGATGATAGATAAGTTTTGTTGCCAACGAAGAAATAAAAGTTAATTTCCAGCTGGAACAAATCCCATTGGTGTTTGTTGCTAATTGAAAGTGTGAAGAGGGCATCTAACTGGCTTCCAAGCACCAGAGGTTGCATGACCTGCATGAGAAAGGTCCATCAGGGCTGACTTTTAAAGGAGTTTTGGCAACTTTTTCTGACCACTAGTTCCAAACCATCTGCCGGTGCAGGTAGTCCCAGAATCACGCCGGGGAAAAAGGCATTTTAATCACCTATGAAATTAGCAATTAGAATAATTATTGAAGGGGAAAGGGATGGCTCCTGCTATTAACAACCCTCTGTTCAATATTGGAACAAATTAGCTCCTGCTCATTAGTATGATTTGTGCTTGCCTAGTGGTTTGGAAAACCTCCACTGGGAATGTCCCTTATTCCTCCCCCTGTGAGGAACATGCAATTAGCATTCATCCACTGCTGTGTCTTTATGCCCCCCTCACAAATCTAATATTACAGAAGAGACACCGGCCTGATCACGGTGGGGTTGGCTTGCAGGGTTGTTAGTTAGAAAGCTGCTTCTTCTGCATTCAGAAGTTATATTAAGTAGATCAAGATTATTATGTCATTTTTTTTAATAAAAGATCGGTTCTTATTTCTTCTTCTTTTGAGCCTTTTCAAATAATGAGATCCACTAAAGGCCTGATATTTTCATGCTGCTGATGGTGAAGCTGTTTGCTACCCAAAGACAACTCCTGCAGCTCGTGCAAACATTGCTGACTGTTTTACATGACGCGCAGCAGCTGATGCAACCTGGGACACTCCCAGCATGAGCATGAGGTTATTTCCAACAGACTTATCACGCGACATGAAAGAAACAGTGGTGCAAAGGTTTATAAAGCAATGTTCACACGAACCGCTGCTATATTTTGAGGATGGGAGATATATTTGTGACTGCACTCACTAGCTGTTAGCTCCTCATTCTGATCAAACTGTGTCTTCAAAGTGTATCAGATAAGTGTTTCTGTCCCCTCCTCTCGTAAATCTGCTGCAGACATACGTCCCACCTCCCTCTGAGGTCATCCATGCAAGTCCTGAGACTGACTTCTCGTTATTAAACTTTAGTGGTGGGCGGATCGATCCAAACATTGACAGAATTGATACCAAGTCCGTATCGTTATCAGATAAGTAAGATTGATACTTGACTTTAAGTCCTGCTCTTGTTTGCAGTGCTGTGGTTCTGACAAAAAGGAAACAGTGAAGTGGACTCGCTGCTCCTGCGTCAGCTCCGATCGCACACATGCTCCCCTCCCCACCCGTGTGTTTAGATGTTGCACTGTCAACTGAGTCACGTGACTTAAACCGGCAAAGCAAACCATAGAGTTCATCCAAACGTAGAGGCGACATTGGGGACAGGAGAGCGTAACTGCTTTGCTGCCATACTGGATGGGCCCCTCTCTCTCTCCAAAACCCAATTGGATCCGTGCTAAGTGAGCAGCTATGCTCGTTTTTGTGCAGCCTGCCTTTCTAACTACTGGTGTACTATTGAAAACAGATCATGTGACTTTTTGCTGGTTTGCGTGCACTTTTTATTTAAGTCCTGAAAATGTGACAATAAAGCGTCTTCTATTAAATTATGAACTTTGTCTTAATTCTGTCCTGGGTTTCAACTATAAGGTAATAAAAAAGATAACATCACAAATAAACACTAACTTGTTCACTAACTTGCTTTAGTAAATCCTTACTTTTGTTAAATAAATCAGTTGTTGAACCCCCACTCCTCTGTTTGGTCTCCTTTCTTATTACAGCCCACCACTTCCAGTCTGGGTTGTAACAATCTGCAGACAGATTTCTGAGTATCTCCTCCTTTGGTACACAGATCCTCACTGAGCCATGTACTGTGATATTATCCAGCAAGGTCCCGTTTTTGTCAAAACAAGGGTGAGGTAATTAAAAAATAGAAATATTTCATTAAATTAACATTTAAATTATTTATATGCATCATTAAAATAAAAAAAAACATGTTTTGAAATATATAAAGTGCACCAAACTTGACTCAGTCCATTCAACAATTCTAATGGACAATTATGTAACTCATCAATTAATTATTTGAAAGGATAATTTGTCAATTAAATGCTGAAAAAAATAAACAATACATTAATGAGGCAAGAACTTTTTAAACTTGAACATACCTACGCCCACAAGTCTATTTTTACCTGGAGTCTCCTCTCAAGAGTGGCTGAAGTAATATTACAACTTTGACAGAATACAAATTCTCTCTCTCTCTCTCTGAAAGCCCCACTCTAAGGGAGTTTGCAGTGTATTAGTGACTCATATATTGTACAACCACAGTCATAAAGTTTTCAATCAGTAGTTTTATTTCAGTATGTATTTTTCCAGTATCACAAAAAATGTAATTTTATATGGTTAAAACCATCTAGCTTATGTGCACTTTTTAAAACACTGCCCAGCAAACATTCGGACGTTTAATGACAGTTGAACGGTCACAACTGTAAAATAATATCACAGGAATTAGAAAAAAATAACTTGACATCTACTCTATTTTCCTTGCCCGGACTCAAACCTGGATACTTCGGGGGGAAAGTCACCCACTCTCCCAGCTGAGCTATGACAACAACTAGTGAATATCAGATTTTTTTATATAAATATAGCTTCCATCATTTTGGTCCGACAGGAAGCCAATGGGCCAATGAGGTAGAGGGTAAAGTGCGGGGTAAACTAACCAATCAGAGGACAGAGAAGATCTGCCACAGGCCACGCCTCCAGAGTGCCAAAAGCCCTCACAGCCGAGCGAGCAGGAGTCAGAAACCGAGCGCGCACAGAGGCTGCCGAGCGCGCACAGAGGCTGCCGCGCGCGCACAGAGGCTGCCGCGCGTGCACGTTTTCCTCTGCCGTGTGCTCGTTGACGACGCGCGCACGCAGGTTTGCCACTTGTGCACATCCTTGTGCGCTCACAGACACCATTTGCTCCCTCTCAGTGCACAAACGACCTCTCGCCATGTATATTTTCGCTCGCGAGTCCCGTTCACACGCGCGCTGTGGACCCAATCCGCGTGCACGGGTTGTGACACGCCTCTGATGCCATACACACGCTCCCTCTCCTGGATTTACACACCTCGACTCACCCAACTCTCGACCTGCCCCTCCCTATTTCTCCTCATCTCCTTTGCCCAACGCTTAGTTCGGGCTTTACTCCATCCACTGGAAGCTCCAGTGCGCTTTTTGTTCCCGTCTGTTAATAAATACATTTTTTTTATCTTTATTACCTGTGAGTGTGTTGATTCTGCATGTCCTGGGTTAAACTCCTTCCCCAGACCATGTCAATTAAAGCTTTGGATTTTGAGTGAGTTAATGGTACAATTAAAATTAACTGGCTAAAAATGTTTTATTAAAAACAACAATTTCTGGTTTCACATACCAAACCAAATCTCGGTGGTATTCAATTTCTTTTAAGGTGTGATTATGATCTGAAGAAGCTCCCCATCAAGCTGTCTTTATTTCATCAACAGGTACTCATGTACTGGAAGATGATTTACAAACATAATTTCAGTCCGCATCATACTCCTCTCTGGAATTGTAGATACATCACCTCAAGAAATAACTCAATATTTTATCCAAACTGGGTGGAAAAGGATATCTGGTCTGTTTTACACTTGTTACACTGTTGTCTCATGAACTACTTAGCTCCAAATTCAAGCTGACTGTTAAGGAACAATATCAGGTTATAAAAGCAATTCCAAGTCCTGTCTTGTCAATCTCCTCCAATTTACATCACAATAACATTAGTCCAAAGCTCCCTGGACTTATGCTTAATGGATGTTCTATTACTGACAAAAAGTTATCCAATATTGTAGTAAGACAGTTATTTAGTCAACTGCATCCATTCTTAGCCAACAGATCATTAGCTTCTCACCTACAATCTTATGAAATAGAAAAAAAAGCAAGGAGTTTTTTTTCAAGCTTCCAGTTGCTCCAAAGATAAAAGAGATGCTGTTTAAAATTATTAATAGCATTTATCCATCTGGAGAGCTTTTGAGACATCGATTTAACTTGGAACATAATGGCTGCTCATTTTGTAATGCAGACAGAAACCACTGAGCATCTGCTTTTTGACTGAATTTGTAAAGACTTTTTGGAGTGAATTAGAGAATTGGTTGGCTTTGAGGCTATGTAATCCACCAAAACTTTCTAAAAAAACGTGTTAATCGGTTGTTTTACAACCAAGGACAATATTTATATTGCTTTAAATGTTATAATTATCCATGGATGTTATATACACAAATGCCGTTATGCTAAAACCTACCCTAATTTCATTGCATTTTATAAAGAATTAGTACATTACTTCTCTTTTTTGAAATCCATGAAAGGCTCCAAAGCCTAAGAAATACAAACTAAATGCTAACCCCTAGCACATTTATTGAATGATGTTTTGCACTTTAATAGTTGTTTTACTGTCATTTTGTCTATTTCATTTAATTTGTATTTTATTTATATTATGTTTGTTTATTATTTATTTACTTTTCCTCAGTTTATTTCTCTTGTCTGCTTGTATTTCCAGTTAAGAAGGGAATATTGTAATGTGCCATGTTTTGTTGATTAATAAACAGATTTTAAAAAATCATCCAAGGATCATGCACGTTTTGACTGTAGGGCCTTTGGTTAGGGAGCCGGTAGCTGAAACGCATTGACCTTCGCAATAGCGCCACCTAGAGTTTTGTGGGTATGAATTTTGGAATCATAGTAGCAGTCAGGTTTTTCTATCAGACTGCCATGTTACATTTTTTCTGGCATTTTCAGGCTCCTGCAGCCATATAGAATTAGCGGAAAAGAATAATGAATAACAATAAATAATGAAAAATCCGTTGAAAAACAACAGGGTTCCCTGCCCGTTGTCGCTTCATGCTGTTGTGATTTTCCTGTGCTGTAATGAGCGCATCCTCCTGGTGGAGCTGCTGTGCTTCCGCGAAGAAAAACAGTCGGAGGAAGCCAGCTAGACGAGCCGAGGGAAAGTTATGGACAGACGTTTTCTAAAGATGGACGTTATTCTTCGGCTTCCCGTGCAGAAATAGTAGGAGCTATCCCCATGTCTACGGAGCCGGCCTCGGTAACATCTACGAGAAAGGGCTGGATTTAAGCCCCGGCAGCTACGTTTAGCAACCAGGCTCGGAAGCTAATGTAAGCAAGCTAATTCACACCGTAGGCCTTGATAACTAAATTGTTTTGTTTAAGTGTCATGTTGTTTGTGCATTTCTCTTATTAACACCGTACTGATGCTCCAGGACTTGTTATCCAGCCTTCTGTGCAACTTAAAGCACGTTGTAGCCTTTGGTTGGTGGTTTTGTTGCAGCTGTGCTAGTTTTAGCTCTGCTGGCTAGCCAGCTGATGGAAGCTAGCGTGCTGTTTACCATGTTTGACAGCTCGCAAAAGGAATGTGGAGCGAAACGCAGTTCCGGTACATCAGTGCGTTCATTTTTTGTTTTTGTTTTTCTGATTGGTATTGACACGTTTCCGTTGTCCACTGTCTTCTTTTCTCTGATTAGTTACTAGCTTGTTTTAGCTAGTAATGTCTCAGACGCTACCACCTTCCGATATGCTGGAAACGCCACCTGGATATCCATTTGAAGAGATCAATTATGAGGATATTGAAGTGGAGGAGGTGAGTTATGTTTGGTCCGTGTGGCCATGGATGAGGGTGTTAACGGAGTTGTCCTAAACGTGATCGCCTGTATCTGTCCCTGTGAAGGTGGTGGGCAGAGGTGCGTTCGGGGTGGTCTGCAAAGCCAAGTGGAAAGGCAAAGATGTTGCAATCAAGACCATCGAGAGTGAGTCGGAGAGGAAAGCCTTTATTGTTGAGGTACTGTTACTCTATTATTATTGTTGTTGTTATTGTTATTATTGTTGTTATTATTGGTGCAGAGTCGACCAGGTCCACTGATGCACCAAGATGTGACTGCTGGTTTGGTGTTAGTGGCAAATGTCTGACACATCATACAGCTCTCAGCCATAAGATAATGACCACCTGTATGGTCTGAGTAAATCCTGCTTTTCTACTAGAGCACTGCAGACGTTAGAGGCCTGAACAGTGACATCACTAGACGTTTGTTTCTGGAGGATGTTGTGAGGCGAGGCCTTCATGGATGGGTTGATTTGGATGTGAAGACTCTAAAAACATCCATAAACATCTCTAACCACTTCTGTTAGGTCACCTGGTTCTTGTTCTTCTGCAGGCTTTTCCTCTTAACTCTTTCACTGCCATTGACGACTAAAGTCGTCATTTGCATTTTTTTTACTGTGTAGGCATCGGAACGAGCCCCTGCGCCGAAAGAACAAACATCTCAGCTCTGAAGCCGATCTTCATTCGCATACGTCACACGTCACATGATCAGGACGGAGAAAATCCATGTGTTAGGAGATTGCTTTGGGCCATTCCTGTAAAAAAAAAAAGTGAGGCGCGAACCGGAAAAGCGTCTGCCCATCACAGTTCGACAACGAGTTATGAAAGAACGGATAACGCTCGAAACGTGCAGATTCTTCCTGATGTAAGAGATGAGTCTCATCTTTGTTTTGGTTGTTTTGGCATCGACATCATCCTAGCGCGCAACGTTCTGTCACTCTTAAAAAACAGTAAAAACGGTGAGAAACGCTGGCAGCGAAGGCCGTTAACGATCAGGAAACGGCTGGCAGTGAATGAGTTAAAGGGAAGTGTCCCCTCTTCTCTTACACCATACTGAAGTGTAATCAGTGTAATCTGCCCATTTCGTTCTTTACTGTGCACTAAAATATCTGAGATTGAGTCATATAAAACTTTCAGATCAAAAAGCTAATTTCAAAGTCTGATAAGGATAACCTGAGTCAATAAAATGTTTTTTTCTGATGGTTTCATTATTAGAGGAACAGAGCTATCCCGACCACCCCGGTCCGGCGTGATAAAACAAACCTCACAAGTAGCAAACACCCCCGGTGTCACATCAGATGATTTGGATCCAAGGATTCAGCCAATACTCAGAAAGGTCAAAATACAAATGTATGTAAAGCAAATTAAATAAATCAGGAATGGTTTTAAGATTAACTTGGTTTGACACAACAGATATAGCTTAGCTTGACGACTAGACCACGACTAGATTAGAATTCATGTTGGACTCCCTTGACTGAGACCTGCTGATTCTGGCCTGGTTCGTAGCGAGTTAGTGGGCTGATCTGGCACTCACCAATAGCTGCAGGGAGCTTTTATCACCGTAATACAGATGGAAATATCAAGATGTCTCAGGTGAGCTTCGATGAGGTGAGTGCAGAGAGATCAGGAACTGAAGTCCTGACACTAAGAGGCTCCACCTGGGTCCGGTGTCTGTGATAACTCCTATTGAGTCTCATGCCAAGCCAACTTTATTTGTGTACAACCTTAAACAATAACAGTAAAAACAATAAAAATGCATAAAAACTAAAACTTGAGGACTAAAAGTAAAAGACTCATGCTAAGTTAAAAGTGGGTTTTCTAGAGATTTCTGTCACCTCTAAACTGGCGTCTCGTTGTCGGGACTTCCAGGAGCTTCCTATCAGCCGACCTCAGACCGTGCAGGGGAGTTAAAAACCAGTAGCTCAGAGAGGTCATCTGGAGCAAGGCCGTAAAGATTTAAAAGCCCATAAAAGCACCTTGTACTGGATTCAAAAACAAGCAGGTAGCCAGTGCAGTGAGGCCAGGACAGGAGTAACGTGCACCGTCATTTTCGTCCCATCGATAAGCCGTGCAGCAGCATCCTGCACCAACTGAAGACGCCAGAGGTGGGATTGTGAAACACCAAACTCTCAGTGTGTTCACATGCGCGTCAGAAAACTGAACTTTTGCCCTAAGTAGACTGACGTTGTTGATTTTTAAACTCATGTAAACTTGTAAGTCTCGTTGAACGTGAACTGGTTCTAGTCGTCCTGAAGCACCCAGATAATGTAGTGGGAGCCCAACTTCATCTGTGTGTAAGCGCCTCCATCGAGCTGATGACGGTAACTTTCAGACTTGACGAGACGCAGAAGAGGTCTTCTGATATCATCGCCACAAAGTCGCACGTGTAACAGCATCACAGATCAGCTGTGCCGCAGCGTTGTTGTCCATTCGGCCATTGTTCATATCCTGTTTTAACTCTGTCTGCTTCACTCCCACCAGCGTTTGTTTGCTATTTGTGTTGCTATAAGTTAACCGGAAGAACGCCTACACAATAGGGCGCATGTCGCCTCCAACTGTACCGGAACGGTACTAACGTCTTTACGGGGGTTGGTTTTCTAACGTACAGGTAAACTAGGAGAAAGGCTCCCAGTTTATTTTAGATCCATTCAGATGTGCGTGTAAACACGCTGAGTGGTACATCAGAGGGGTTTCCAGCAGGAACGGCCTGTTTAAGGTCAAAGGTCAGACGTTCTCTTTCAGGATGCTCTGCCAGAGCATGGTTCCAGCAGGTCCTTTGTGTTCTTCCTCACTTGACTCATGACCTCTGACCTTAACATTAGCCAAGTGACACCTGTAGGTAGGATGGGCCCAACATCTATAAATCGTGATATAATTTAAAGCACGTGCGGTAACACGACGTATTCTTTTCATTAGTTTATTTGTCCAAATAACCTTTCTGAACAATCTCTCACACCAGATGAGCGGCACCAGAACAAGTGCTGATGAAAAGGACAGAATGCCACTTAAAAACCGTTTAACGTGACAAAACGTCTCAAATGACTTTTATGTTCTTAAGGTTCTTTTTTCAAACTTTTCATCACAAATATTCTCATGACGTGAATAAAGATGAAGATATTTTAATGAAAAATGTAAAAACACAAATAAAATTTCTTTCTGATTAATTTAATAATTTTCAGGTTTTCTTTTGCTCATAGAAGTTTAGTGTTAGTCGTTAATAACTGCAGCTAAAACGATGCTTTGCAGCAGTTCTTTTTTGTTTGTAAAAGAGAACCCAAACCAGGTCCGTATAACCAACATAACTCCATCTTCCCAACGAGCACGCCTTCCTCCGTGCGCTGTGGCAAGCTGACACAGCATGATGATATTTACGCGCCGTCACTGTCGGACGGTAGAGTCAGCAGCTCTGCCCGCGGTTATTGTATCATATCGACCGGGTACACCATGCATCACTAGCTCTAAGGTGTTGTTGTTTTTGGTAGGCAGACATTCAGGTCCGTGAGCTCGCCCATGGAGGGTGTTTCATCGGTCTCTCACTCATTCACATCATGACTTTCATCAGAGTCAGAATGTTCCTGTTGGCTCGGTGCCGCTGGGAGGAGCCCTGCTGTTGTATCAGCAGTGAAAGTGTCACACTCATTTCATGCTTTTTCTTTGCAGCTGAGACAGCTTTCTCGTGTGAACCACCCAAACATCGTGAAGTTGTACGGCTCCTGTAAAAACCCGGTAAGAAGGGTGAAATGTTTTTGTTAGTTTCATAAAGTTTCAGAGGTTTATTCCTGGTTCTCTTCCACATTTAGGTCTGTCTTGTGATGGAATACGCAGAAGGAGGATCCTTGTACAATGGTGAGTCCAGATTCAGAACCAGAGAGCGGTTGTGTGTTCTAGGTGACCATGAGCACAGCCTGTCACACACATGAAGGCTGCCCCTAGCTGGTTAACATCTCTCTGCATCACCAGCAGTCCTTCTACCGATGTCTCACTCTCCTCTGATATACTGGTGCTACAGATGGAATATGGCTGCAGCTAGCATGCTGCTGCTCCGTCTCTCTCGTGTCTCTGCCTGTCGGAGGTCATCACATTCAATTCAATTCAAGTTTATTTATAAAGCGCCAAATCACGACAAGTCGTTTCAAGGGCCTTCACATAGTAAACATCCCAGTACAGGTCAGGTCATTAAGCCAATCAGTAACAAGTTTCCTATATAAGGAACCCAGCAGGTCGCATCGAGTCACTGACTAGTGTCAGAGTCTTTACAGCAATCCTCATACTAAGCAAGCATGCAGCGACAGTGGAGAGGAAAACTCCCTTTTAACAGGAAGAAACCTCCAGAGGATCCTGGCTCAGTATAAGCAGCCATCCTCCATCCATGTATGATGGAGCTTGATTATTAAGAGCTTTATATGTGAGAAGAAGGGTCTTAAAATCTATTCTGAATTTAACAGCTAGCCAATGTAGGGAAGCTAAGACAGGAGAGATATGATCTCTCTTTTTAATCCTCATCAGAACTCTAGCTGCAGCATTTTGGACAAGCTGAAGACTTTTAACTACATTCTGTGGACTTCCTGAGAGTAATGGATTACAGTAATCCAGTCTTGATGTAATAAATGCATGAACTAGTTTTTCAGCATCACTCCTGGAAAGGTTGCATCTAATCTAGGGCTGCAGCTATCGAATATTTTTGTAATCGAGTACTGTATCGAATCTTTTATCGATTAATCGAGTGCTCTAATACATGACCCTTTTGTGTTTGTAAACCAAAACTTCAGTACTTCAACTTTACTTCACAGTAAACAAATGCGAGCGGCTGCGGCCCAAACAGCACCAGAACCGCTCACGGCGCATGTGCAAACATGGCTCGCCAGCTGTTTCCCTATTAACACACGTCCGTTTTTATTTCTACACTTTTTTGTCTCACACTAACACGGATTGTCGAGAAAGCATGTTTGCCGTGGTTATGTCAAGTTATACTGATCACACAACATTTATTTACTTTCTTTTGTTTTCCTCTCATAAATACCCGTGTCCTCCTGCAGCGATCCCGAGGGACAACAGACGTCAATAACAACACAATAAAAAGTCTGACCTGTTTTGTAAAAAACGCTATTTTTAGCACATTTTTAGGTCCGACGTGTTGCTACCAGACGTACGGTGTGAGCTGAAACTGAGTGCTACAAATGAAAAAGTCGCACAGTGTCTGTAGAATATATAGCGGAACGTTTATGTTTACCCACACTGATGAGCTAAAAACCAAAGTGCACGTTATTTTATGAACTCTTACACTGCGGTCAGGTTAGCTGTGGCTGTAAATCACACGTTTCACTCTGGAACATTTGGAGTCAGGTCCAGCAGCTATTTTTCTGCTGGAGTCGGCGTGGAATGAGAAGTTGACCGCTGTGTAAAGGTTTATAAAGTACTGTTGTGTAAAATACTGTTTCAAAGCGGCTCCACGGAGAGACTCGGAGCAGCAGCAGAGCTTTGGAGTTGTGGGCCGTCCCTGGTGGTGCTGTAGAGACCTGCTGGGCCATGTTTGGTTTCCAGTCTTCCCGTTGTTTTGTGCTGCTGGTTTGTGTGTGATCGTGTTCTCTCGTCCACAGTGCTGCATGGTGCTGAACCCCTCCCCTATTACACTGCTTCCCATGCCATGAGCTGGTGCTTACAGTGTTCCCGGGGGGTGTCCTATCTCCATGGCATGAAACCAAAGGCTCTCATTCACAGGGACCTCAAGCCACCCAAGTATGCTCGTCTTCCTCACACCCACACTCCTACCACCCATTTCACAGCCAGCAGACTGATGTATTCCTCACAAGCGCTGCACTTACACTTCTCAGGTCATCATCGCTGGTTTTACAAACATGAGGGGCAGAGACTCATCCCCACAGGGTCTCGTATGCGTCTTCACACGAGGATCACGCCTCGCAGGAGGAAGGGTCGGGCGTTAAATGCTGATCTCATTACAGATCAGCCTAATAAACAGGCTTAGATCAGCTTTTCACACGCCAAAGATCTAATTGGGCCCTTGTTTTTTTTTTTTTTTTTTTTTTACCAAATCTCTTCCTTTTACATTATACTAAACCCGTTAATCACCTGTAGAACGTTCAGTGGGAGTTTCTGTTGAACAGCTTTTTGTTTCTCCCTGTTTTCTTCTGCAGACCTTATTTTAGGTTACCACTAGATGGCAGTCCATTAACACCAAAAACCTGCAGTTGACACAAGGTACACATACAGCTCAGTAGGTTTTACCTGTTCTTACCTGAGCGTACGTTTGGCTCTAGAGCTCCTGGTAAACATTTAATTCATGCTTTCATCTCTAAACATCTGGATTTAGTGTTTGTTTAATGCATCAACAAATCACAGGAGCAAATCCCGCTGTTACAAGTGAACCCCCTACACACACACACACACACACACACACACACACACACACACACACACACACACACACACACGTCATAGATCACAACTAATGAAGTTTGTTTATATTATGTTTTATGACTCCCAAAGAAAACAAAATTATTACAGCATAGCGTCGTATCTCGGGTCAATAAAACAACCTGAAAAGATGGAATTAAAAGAGATCGCCTCTGTATTCCTGACGTGTGCAGAGATTATGGCCGTTACACATTAGCATCGGCTCCAGTCCGCCTGGGCCGGGTTGGGAGTGTTCTCATTTAGGCCTTGGATTTTACTGCACACTACTGGATGTCACTTAAGCCCTCTTCTCTTCCCAAGGCGATCTGCCGGGAGCCGAACTGGTCCGACACGCCCACTGCTGACGGATCGGCCAGCTCTAAATCACGCGTACCATTAGAGGGAGCCTTCGATTGGCAGAATCAGCTCGCGGGGACTTCCTCGTGCGCTATTCATTATCATTCTGGATGCTGTTGAGTTAACTCCGACTGCAGCTGTTTTTTTGTGTTTCTCACTGCTGTGAGGAGCACGCGCGCACACACACACACACACACACACACACACACACACACACACACACTGCTGCCAGACACAGCAAAGCAGAATGCTAAATCAGTCAGAGAGTCTCCAAAGCAAGACTACTCAGGTGTTCAATAAAGGAAATACCGCAGACTTCTCTGTGCTCTTTTGCCCCGCCCACGTGCTTGGAGGTGCGCTCGTGAGACCACAGACTGCCTATGTGCTTAATCACGTCCGCACTCCTAATTCAGTGTGGAACGAATGCGGCCAGGCTGGGGCGGGTGGAGCTGAGCCGACGCTAGTGGCACTAGACGCCTACAGTAGGATGCGAAAGGTTAGGCAGCATTGTTAATCTTCATGGTTATCCTGTATAAATCATCGTTTTTTACGAATAAACATTTCAGTTAAATATATCGTACAGGAGACTAGGGCTGCTCGATTATGGCAAAAACAATAATCACGATTATGGTGACTGAAATTGAGATCTCGATTATTTAGGACGATTTTTCAATTTATGTTGATTTTATTTGTTTTTATTCAGTCATAAAATTGCTCAGGCCACAATCAGGACAAAAATAAATAAGAAACAGGATGATCACTAAAATAACTCCTGATTCCCAGTATAAAAAGACCAGTATACTTATAGCTCATAGTCTATGACCCAAGGGCTATAGACCTTGGTTTAACTCATGTAAGTCTAACCAGTACAGACCCAAATACCAATATCTTGCAAATACTGACAGCAAGAATTATACAGTGGCATTTATAACAAATAAATGCAAATAAATTGATGTTCACAAAATGTTGCATAGCATTTACTGAGTCGTGTCAAGGTGCTGTAGGAGAGTGCACTAGCACCGTGTCCTCAGAGAGGTTAGTTATTAGTTATCAGCGTGAGGAACTTATTTCTACCTTATTTATAAACTATTTATTTACAAGTCCATCAGTTAATGTAATAATTGTCCCAACCACAGCTGCACCCCCCACCCCCAACCCCGGTCTCACAGCAATCAGGGGCAAGCTGCACGTGTGTTTAGCGCGCCGTACACACACATTTAGCTGTTTTTAGCGGCTCAGGAGTCCGCAGATTCGGTGTGTGTGTCACTCACTCTGGTTATTCCAACAGGGAGCCGACTCTGAGAGCCGTTTCTTTAGCGACTGACACATCACTACATCATTCCCTTTCCTAATGTCCTGAAGAACGGTCGGGAGCGCAGGCGGAGTGTTTAGCTAACCTGCAGGAAATGTCGACGACAGTTATCCAGAAAGTAGCTAAGGGTTACCAGAGATGTTTCTGAGTTGTTCGCCAGGTACTTTTAAGATTTAAAAAGTCAAGAAGGGGGTCTGAAAAATTGTTAGACATAGCGTCAAAGTCGCCAAGTTGGCAACACTGTGGGAGGAGCGCTTCATTTGCTACTCGGGGCAGCGCAAGTGGGAGGAGCAAATAATCAGCTTGTTTTGTTTGTATAATCGATCAAAACTCAGATCGTAATTGTGATTAAAATTCGATTAATTGAGCAGCCCTATAGGGGACACACACGGTGATCTTTGAGAAGTAAAACAAAGTTTATAGGATTTACAATAATTGTTTAAACATAAACATATTGAATCATTTTTATGGTTTTTTGCCGATTAAATTGAGTTTTGCTTCAGTAGCTGCAGGTAAAACGATGCTTTGCTCGTTTTGTGTCGACAACATTAAAATAAGGTTGGAGGTTGTACTTTTTCTCTGGATCAGCTGATTCATGGGTCTGACGGTTGCGCAACACGGAACGGGAAAGAGAGAGAGCGCGTTAAAAATCGTGTTTTTATTACTAAATGGGACAGTCAGCTGAAACTGTTGTGGGGAATTTCTTTAACTGAATCACAGGAGATGTCCAGAGTTTGGAATCATGTGTTCATCATGCGTTCATAAACGAACAGCATTTAACTAACGAGCTGTTACTGCAGGTGGGACTTTACTGTCGCCCAGATTATTTTACTGAGTGCAGGTCCGTATAACCGACGTCACCGCGTCTTCTTTAGAGGTGCGTCTTCATCCACCTGCGGTTGATGACATCAGAAACGGCGATCCATGCTGCAGCCTGAGCCAGTAATCCATGTATTTCCAGTACAGCACATTTGCAATAATCAGACTTTTATTTTACTTCCACAAAAAGCTGATTTTAGATGAGATATTACAGAAAACTGGAAGGTTTGCCATCAAACCTAAAAGCTGCCCCTCGTTAAGTACAAGTCAGGCAGCAGGGCTCATTGGCGACTTTCCAGTGCGGAGCGAGCGACGTGTTGGAGACTCCCGGTTTAGAAGCAGTTTTTTCTGCAAAAGGAGGATCTGCTAAATATTGAGGTGATTTATTTTTTGTGGTATTTTTTATGTATGCTCCCGCCTAATTTAGTTTAAACAATTATTGCACACTTTCTGTAAATCTTATGAACTTTGTTTCACTTCTCAATCTCAGTGTGTGCGTCTCCTGTGGGATATATGTAAGTGAAATTTTCATCCTAACCAACGATTTTCACATGAAAGTCACGAAGGCTTCCCAAACTTTTGCATCCCGTTGTCGGTGCATGAGCCGAAGGCGAACGATGCAGTTAGTTCAGCCACATCCTCTGGTGTGTTTCTGTGTAAACGTGACCATAACGCCTCTTGACCAGCCTCTGTTTGGAGAAATAGTTTACATCCTGAGGACCGATGAGCTTCCTGTGGTTGATCCAGGGGTCATGTTGCTAAACAAGAGAAACTGGCTGTAGTATAAAGGGTTAAAGCACTGATCACATGACCAGAGGCTGCTCCGAGGCCACCTACGGTGATGATTCTGGCCTAATGTGAAGGTGTTTATTGGTTGTGATGTTCTTGTTGCTGCTGCAGCCTGCTCCTGGTGGCGGGCGGCACCGTGCTGAAGATCTGTGACTTTGGGACAGCGTGTGACATCCAGACCCACATGACCAACAACAAAGGAAGTGCTGCGTGGATGGCTCCCGAGGTGTTTGAAGGCAAGTATCAGTGGCCGTTCATTTAGGTGGTTTGTGTTCTTGTTGGTTCTGTTTACTTCCATCAGTTCTCTAAGTGATCGGGGGGGTTCAGTCTTTTTCTACATTAATTGCATCTACAGCTTCAGCACAGACGCATTAATTGCTGCTCCGTCGTCAGCCTCGGTGCTCCTCTGTCTTATCGATGGTTGTCTCCAGAGTGTGGCGAGGAGATGAATGTTTAAAGCTACTGCTGTTATTTCCCCTGGGAGGCTGCAGTTTAAAATGCGTGTTCTCATTCAGCCAGCAGCCTAATGGAGTGCTAAATGATGAAACATGTTCCTGGCAAGGGGGTCGGGGGGAAAGATGAATTCATGTCTAGTCATTATTTTGTTTTTGAAGGCATGATACACGACTCCAGTGCAATTAAACAACTTACTCCTGCCCTCTCCGTGAACTCCTCGCAGCTAATTTGCATCAGCGTGAAAAGCTGTCAGAACATCCTTGCACAGCAACTTTAAAATCGGTTTGTGTTGTGCACTTTTATGTTGCATCAGAGGCCCGGCAATTAAGAAATACAAGAGCCGTTCTTCTGGACAAATTGCTCCCAAATTTTCCTCCTGCTCCCTCCTGGAAGCAAAGAGAAGATAAAAGCTGCTGCTCATTCCCAGGCACATTTCTCATTCTCATCCCAAATGTGCCACAGAGAATTCCCTTCATCAGCCATCCGTGTCAGACGGAGGTGTTTCTCCCCGTTTGAGGAGTGGGAAGGTCCTGAGTGTTTGTGTGGGTTCTTCTGTACACACAGGCAGCAATTACAGCGAGAAGTGTGACGTGTTCAGCTGGGGAATCATTCTCTGGGAGGTCATCACTCGCAGGAAACCTTTTGATGAGATTGGTGGGCCAGCTTTTCGCATTATGTGGGCTGTGCACAACGGTGAGTCACTCTGTGTGTGTGTGTGTGTGTGTGTGTGTGTGTGTGTGTGTGTGTGTGTGTGTGTGTGTGTGTGTGTGTGTGTGTGTGTGTGTGTGTGTGTGTGTGTGTGTGTGTGTGTGTGTTACTGAGAGACCAAAGCAGTGGTTCGTGGGGAAAATGTGTTTTCTGTAGGATGAAAGATTTCTTCATCACTTTGTTATATTTTTATTAAAACGTCTCTCTGCTCTTACGAGCCTTTGTTATTGATTCATTGTAGATAAAATCCCAGATTTCTTAGATTAAAAACATGAATTAATGTTGTGACTTTTTTATCAGAACTGCCGATGTTATCGGTCAGCCTGTAATATCAGCTGATGTCGATATCAGAACGTATCTGTATCAGTTTTCAGGCTTTTATTGACACATTTACATAACATGCACACATATTATACATCAGCATCTTCAGCTACTTTGCCTCTTTCAAAATGAGGTAAAGTGTTTGAGATGTTTTAGTTTATTTGGAACAACTTGTGAAGTAGAAATTTGCCCTGCGTAGTGAGCGTGTGCTGTCCTCGCATCACTTGGCTAACAAACCACTATAGAAAAACGAGAATCTTCACCTTCTTTAAAGATATATTATCTTCTTAGTGGTGATATACAGAAAAATACAAGAAACTAACTAGGGCTAGACGATATCTAAAATATTAATATAATTGCAAACAAGAAACAAGATGACTGTAACTTTTATATCTATAAATATACAACCAGTGAATTTCTAGAGTTAGCAGACGCTGCTAGCTTGTCTTTACATGAATTCACACACATCTGCTCAATCAGGAAACCTTTGGGTCAATGTTCCGCTTTAAACTTTGCATTTAGATTTGTGGTTTCTAATTATTTGGGGATGTTTGTATTTTAGCGAGCTTTGTTTCGCCGCTGCGTTCCCTCTGCGAGAGCATCGTGGTGGAGGAGGAGGAGAATGCGTGCATGCAGGGGCGTAGCAAGCTAAAGTGTGGCTGTTGACATCTCTCTGATATATTTATAATCCAGTTCTTATTCCACCAAAAGTAGTGCACCAGCACCAAAGAGCAGACATGAAACAGATGATGAGTATTAAACTAGTCTAGGGGGTTCTGGGTTGGACATTTTATGTTTAAAAACATCAGTCTGGTGCATTTTGAGAAATAAAGTAGAGTTACAGGCTGGTGAGATTGTACGATAACGTATCTATACATGTTCATGGTATTGATTATATATCCTGTCCTATCTTTAATCCGTTTTGAAAGAAAGTGATATTTTCTATAGCGCCTCTAAAGATAGAAACCACGAGGCGCTTCACAAAAACAAAAAACATTTAAATATAAAAAAGATTTCAAAAAATGATCAAAAAACATGTTTAAAATAAGCAAAAATAGACTATTGTGATTAAGAAAGGCAAAGAAAGAGAGAGTGAGAATAGGAAAGAACACCAACTACAGCGAAATCCTCTGATGCATCCGTGCAGCTCAGTACCACACCTGTATGATGTCACTAGTTACTAAAGAGCCAATCAGCTGGCAGAGCTGCTGGTGAACGTGTAAAACTACGTGACTCAACTTAAGGAACAAAGTAGAATCCAGCTGCTGTTGTTTATTTGTTGTTGTTTATAGAAACTAAATGTATCTGCAGGGCTTCAGGCCCAGGGCGGAGTTTTAGACCTCCGACCGAACCAATCCACACCTGTTATTAATAGTGTTGTGTATTATTTACACCAGTCAGTAATGTTTACATCCACACCTGTTATTAATAGTGTTGTGTATTATTTACACCAGTCAGTAATGTTTACATCCACACCTGTTATTAATAGTGTTGTGTGTTATTTACACCAGTCAGTAATGTTTACATCCACACCTGTTATTAATAGTGTTGTGTGTTATTTACACCAGTCAGTAATGTTTACATCCACACCTGTTATTAATAGTGTTGTGTATTATTTACACCAGTCAGTAATGTTTACATCCACACCTGTTATTAATAGTGTTGTGTGTTATTTACACCAGTCAGTAATGTTTACATCCACACCTGTTATTAATAGTGTTGTGTATTATTTACACCAGTCAGTAATGTTTACATCCACACCTGTTATTAATAGTGTTGTGTATTATTTACACCAGTCAGTAATGTTTACATCCACACCTGTTATTAATAGTGTTGTGTGTTATTTACACCAGTCAGTAATGTTTACATCCAGACCTGTTATTAATAGTGTTGTGTATTATTTACACCAGTCAGTAATGTTTACATCCACACCTGTTATTAATAGTGTTGTGTGTTATTTACACCAGTCAGTAATGTTTACATCCACACCTGTTATTAATAGTGTTGTGTATTATTTACACCAGTCAGTAATGTTTACATCCACACCTGTTATTAATAGTGTTGTGTGTTATTTACACCAGTCAGTAATGTTTACATCCACACCTGTTATTAATAGTGTTGTGTATTATTTACACCAGTCAGTAATGTTTACATCCACACCTGTTATTAATAGTGTTGTGTGTTATTTACACCAGTCAGTAATGTTTACATCCACACCTGTTATTAATAGTGTTGTGTGTTATTTACACCAGTCAGTAATGTTTACATCCACACCTGTTATTAATAGTGTTGTGTATTATTTACACCAGTCAGTAATGTTTACATCCACACCTGTTATTAATAGTGTTGTGTATTATTTACACCAGTCAGTAATGTTTACATCCACACCTGTTATTAATAGTGTTGTGTATTATTTACACCAGTCAGTAATGTTTACATCCAGACCTGTTATTAATAGTGTTGTGTGTTATTTACACCAGTCAGTAATGTTTACATCCAGACCTGTTATTAATAGTGTTGTGTGTTATTTACACCAGTCAGTAATGTTTACATCCAGACCTGTTATTAATAGTGTTGTGTGTTATTTACACCAGTCAGTAATGTTTACATCCACACCTGTTATTAATAGTGTTGTGTATTATTTACACCAGTCAGTAATGTTTACATCCAGACCTGTTATTAATAGTGTTGTGTGTTATTTACACCAGTCAGAACATGTTTACATCCACACCTGTTATTAATAGTGTTGTGTGTTATTTACACCAGTCAGTAATGTTTACATCCACACCTGTTATTAATAGTGTTGTGTGTTATTTACACCAGTCAGTAATGTTTACATCCAGACCTTAGACATGAAAAAATCTATATTAATTACATTCACTGACCATTTTGCTCATCGCCATTCACAAGGAAGGGGGTAGTAGAGCGGAACGTTCTGGTGCCATGCGTGGGCCGTGAGGGCGGGGGTAAAGCGCCACGCCTGAGTCTATGCAGGGCAAACACTGCCAGTGTTTCTACAGCTCAGGCTGAGGTTTGACAAGAGTCAATAATCTGCTGATCAATTCATGTGTGCAATTTCTCAAGACCGCTTTAAGGGAGTTACCTTGTAAATATTTTACTGGAGGAAAATGTGGAGAAAAATACTGTTTACCAGAATTCAGGTGAATGGCCTGGAGGAGGGAGGCCTGGCGGCTCTCCAGGTGTATGAAGCACTGGGGGAATCCCTGTAGTATATCAGAAATTGTCTAAAATAAAAGCCAGTATTGAGCATCCCTGTTTTTTATGTCCAGTTTCACATTTTCTGCCTCGCAGAGTTAACTGGTGTTTGTTTAATGACTGTTTTATTGTTCAGGTACAAGACCTCCGTTGATCAAAAACTTACCCAAACCCATTGAGAGCCTGATGACCCGCTGCTGGTCTAAAGACCCATCTCAGAGGCCTTCCATGGAGGAGATAGTGAAGATCATGACTCATCTTATGAAGGTAAACAGTCGTCCCGCTTTGGTTTCTTGCTCTTTAGCTCTTTGCTTGTTTTCCTTTGAACCTGTAAATACAGTACTTCAGATTCTCTCTTGGTTTAGAGCCTCACAGTTTAAAGTAATTCCAGGAACTAGTCAGTACCTTTACCTTTTGCGTTGTGTTTCCAGTATTTCCCAGGATCTGATGAGCCTCTGCAGTATCCATACCAGTATTTAGACGAGGGACAGAGCAACTCTGCGAACAGTACAGGTACAGACGAAAGGCCCTCTTTATATGGCCTTTAGGGGGCGCTGTGAGCAGGTTTTATAAACAACATATAACATCAAACCCTGAAATGTACCTCCCCTGCAGAACTGTTGCCATGGCAGCGTGTGTGTGTGGTGGGGGTGGATTTCAGATTGCCTGTGGTGCTGAGCTGCTGTGATTTTCTAAAACACTATGCTATGTTAGCTAGCTTTGTTTTTCTCTACTCCACAGTTCCAGTCTAACCAGGTTTATAAACCTAAATACTGTGTAATTAAGTAAAGAATCGAAAATGTAACGACTGTTATTTAATTTTCACAACTTAAACAAAATTCTGTGCTTCTGCTGAACACGGAGTTCTTTTGCTAAATCTCAAAGATTCTCCTCATCTAAAGAACGAGACATCCTCGTTTGTGTGCAGAATTAAGCATCACTGTGTTTTGTAGTCGATGTTGAAGGGTTGGTGTTTCCGGAGTGTTTCTCTTATCCGATGGCGCCATCTAGTGGCTGACAATCATATCACACTAGTAGTTTCTCCGTTAGTTTTTTTCACGTTGCTAGTTTTTAAATGTGCTTCTGGTAGCCGACAAACAGCTAAAACGCGTTGTTTTACGAGTATTATTTTCATGTCATGCTGTGTTTTCTAGGGGTGCGACAATACATGTACCCGTATCGAACCGTTCAATACGGAGCTTTCGGTTCAATACGCATATGTACCGAACAATACAGGATTTTTTATTTTTTTATTTATTTTTATCAATTTTTCGTCTGACTATGAGATCAGTGGATCTGGGTGATCTACGTTCGACTACTCCGCCTGAGGTTGCATTGTCGAGCGCAGATCCACTTAGCACTGCCCACAGCTTGTGCCCTCACCTTTCCAAGTTGGCACTGTGTTACTTGGTTGTACCAGGGACCTCTGTCCCAAGAGAGAGGGTGTTTTCCACTGCAGGTGACATTGTCACAGCAAGCAGATCTGTACTGTCAGCAGAACATGTTGACATCCTCATTTTTCTGAAGAAAAACATGGAAGTTGATTAAATGGTATTTGGTTTATATTTAAGTGAAACTTTTATTTAAGTTATTTTTGTTGTATATGCAGCTAAGTGCCAGCACTCCAGAAGATGAGTGTGAGGGGGAGTTCCATAAAAGATTGGTTCATTTTATAGGGACCTTATTTGTTTAATTGCTGAAGAAGAAAAAAAGCTACTTTGGTTTTCCACAGATTATTTTCTTAGTTACATAAGTTTGCTATTGTAGCATCATTTAATTTACAAAATTGTACTTTTGAGTTAAAACAAATATTTGTAATAAATTTCAATGAATGACAAATTAAAAAAGGCATGAATACTATTTTGTTTGTATCGAAAAAATATCGAACCGTGACACCAATGTATCGAATCGAACCGAACCGTCCATTTTGTGTATCGTTGCACCCCTAGTGTTTTCATATATTTATATTTTAGAGATGTACTTTTCCGTAAAAAGTTCATCAACTCTGCATCAGTCGAGGTATTCCTTAAATTTGAAGCACATAAGCGGTAGTCTAACGTCATTGGTTAGTTCTGGTCGGCATTCAGTTTCCTGTTGCACAGAGCTCTGCGGGGCAGGGGCGTGCTTACGTGATGTTACATCACTTTTTAAAAAAAAATCATATATAATTTCTGAAAGGGGAAAACTCCGGAAAGATACTTTAAAGAACTACAAAAGGTGAGGAGGGATGAGGTCAGAGGGAGAACATGGTGG